TGAGGCTCCGTCCCTGCCTGGCACTGACAGTGCCACCGCGGCCGTTCCTTCTCCCTGCCAGGAAGGGCAGATGCTGGGTGCCTGTGCACATGGGCGAGTGACAGGTGCAGGGCGAGGGGGCTGTGCCTGGGAGATGGCAGGTGAGGAAGTACCCTCGCCGACCCGCTCAGGAGAGAGACGTGGACCCAGGCAGAGCAGTGCACGTGAGGCTTCTCCACAGGTCTTGCGAGGCCAGGTGTCTGACGAGCGGCCCACCCGGCGCAGGCGCAGCAAGCGTCAGAGCCCAGCTCGCGGGTCCCTCCCCCTTCCTCACTGGCTGAGTTCTGTGGGCTGCACAGTCTCCTGGACACCGAGTTACAAAGTCACCTTCCGCCTCCCTTCACTGTACCTGGGTTTCCTCTCTGGTGTCGGCTACTCCCTAACATCCTGATTGCCTGGGCAGTTTTGCTGCATCTGCAAGCCAGCTGGCATGATTTTCTACTCTGTGTTGAAAATGGACTGACATTGTCTTACCGTAGGGAGACCCCAGGTGTGCCTGGTGTACGTTGGCGTGGCACGTGGGCTTTGGGAAGTGCCAGCACACATGCGTCATTGACAAGGTCTGTGCACAGCAGGCCTGTGTCCTTGCTCAGTGTTGGTGAAGGTTGGATCTCCCTGTGTGGCCCCCACCACGTGGCCTTCCATAGGTGTGTGCTGAGCAGAGAAACAGCACAGTCTGGTGTGTTGCACGGTGTGTGTCACACGGTGTGGTGTGTTACTGTCACACAGTGTTGTGTCACATGGTGCCTGTCAGGTTTGATGTGTCTCGTGTGTGTGTCACAGTGTGGTGTCCCATGTGTGTCACGGTGTGTGTCAGTGTCACACAATGTGTGTGTCACAGCGTTTTATGTCACACAGTGTGGTGTGTGTCACAGTCTGGTGTATCACAGTCTGGTGTGTAATGGTATGTGTCACTGTCACACAGTGGTATGTGTCATAGTGTGGTATGTCACATGGTGTATATTTGTCACACAGTGTGGTGTGTATCCCGGTGTGGTGTGTAATGTTGTGTGTCACAGTGTGGTATGTTACATGGTGTATATGTGTCGCACGGTGTGGTGTGTGTCCCGGTGTGCCGTGTCACTGTCACACAATGTGTGTGTCGCACGGTGTGGTGTGTGTCTGGTGTGCCGTGTCACTGTCACACAATGTGTGTGTCGCACGGTGTGGTGTGTGTCTGGTGTGCTGTGTCACTGTCACACAATGTGTGTGTCGCACGGTGTGGTGTGTGTCTGGTGTGCCGTGTCACTGTCACACAATGTGTGTGTCGCACGGTGTGGTGTGTGTCTGGTGTGCTGTGTCACTGTCACACAATGTGTGTGTCGCACGGTGTGGTGTGTGTCTGGTGTGCCGTGTCAGTGGTGGTGCGGAAGCTCCTGAGGCAGCAGGGGCCTCAGTAGCCTCGGGGCAACGTTTTCCCTTGAGCTTTGGGAACTTCCGGAGGAGCAGAGTAGTAAAACGACCACCCACACACACACCGTGTCAACAGTTCGGCCTTTTTGCCCATCGTCGGTCCTCTCTCGCACATGCGCACACGGCAGCCCATCGTTGGTCCTCTCTCGCACATGCGCGCGCGGCAACCCATCGTCTGTCCTCTCTCGCACATGCGCGCACGGCAGCCCATCGTCGGTCCTCTCTCGCACATGCGCGCGCGGCAGCCCATCGTCGGTCCTCTCTCGCACATGCGCGCGCGGCAGCCCATCGTCGGTCCTCTCTCGCACATGCGCGCGCGGCAGCCCATCTTCGGTCCTCTCGCACATGCGCGCGCGGCAGCCCATCGTCGGTCCTCTCGCACATGCGCGCGCGGCAGCCCATCGTCGGTCCTCTCGCACATGCGCGCACAGCAGCCCATCGTCGGTCCTCTCTCGCACATGCGCACACGGCAGCCTCAGTCTCCGACATCACACAGCCCTCCTGTGAATGCCCTGCTCGCGCCGGGTGACCCGTGCTGCGGTCCTCCCTCGGGAGTGACACGCAGTTGGTAACAGGCGTTCAGTAACGCCGGGCTCGCCGCGTCCCTGGCTCTCCGAGAGCCTTCTCGCGGGGCTGGGATCGCTCAGGAGCACCTCGCGCAGGGCTCGGTTCGCAGGGGAGGTGGGCGCTGCCGTCGAGCCCCTCCCTCAGCCGCCCGACGGCTGCTCCCCGATGGCCGCCCGAGTTCTTTGCGGGAAGCCTCTCGGTGGTGGACTCGGTTTCTTTGCTGGATAAGCAGGCAGGTCAGCCGCTCTGTTGTGTGTCACAGTGTGGTATGTTACAGGGTGTATATGTGTCGCACGGTGTGGTGTGTGTCCGGTGTGCCGTGTCACTGTCACACAATGCGTGTGTCGCACGGTGTGGTGTGTGTCTGGTGTGCCGTGTCACTGTCACACAATGTGTGTGTCGCACGGTGTGGTGTGTGTCTGGTGTGCCGTGTCACTGTCACACAATGTGTGTGTCGCACGGTGTGGTGTGTGTCTGGTGTGCCGTGTCACTGTCACACAATGTGTGTGTCGCACGGTGTGGTGTGTGTCTGGTGTGCCGTGTCACTGTCACACAATGTGTGTGTCGCACGGTGTGGTGTGTGTCTGGTGTGCCGTGTCACTGTCACACAATGTGTGTGTCGCACAGTGTGGTGTGTGTCTGGTGTGCCGTGTCACTGTCACACAATGTGTGTGTCGCACGGTGTGGTGTGTGTCCCGGTGTGCCGTGTCACTGTCACACAATGTGTCGGGAGTCTTGGAGTGACGTGTCCGCGGTTCCCGTGGCCATCCTGAGCGCGGGGTCTGTGCCGGCCTTGCCCTTAGATGCCGACTCGGGCTTAGTCGTTTTCTGTTGATTTTGCAAAAGGTCAACTTTAGCATTTACTTTTTCTTTTGTTTTCCTCATTCCTGTTTTTTTAAAAAAAATCTCTGCTTTTATTTTTAGTATTTCTTCCTTTCAACTCATTTTGGATTTGCCTTGCACTTTTCTGCCTTCTTAATGGGAACACTTGCCTCAAGTTCAGATCGTTATCTCTCTTTAATGTAAGTACTTGAGGCTCTAAGTTTTTTGGTAGCAGACACACACAGGTGGCACGCACACAGTTGATGTGTACACACAGGTGCACAGGGGTTTGTGCCCAGACTAGTGGCATGCACACAGGTGTGTACACAGGTGGCACACAGGTGGAATACCTACAAAGGTGGCAGGTGGCATGCCCACACAGGTGGCGTGTACACAGGTGGCACACAGGTGATACCTACTGATGTGCACACGAGTGGTGTGCACATGGAAATGTCACAGCACACACAGGTGGCACACAAGTGGCGTGCATTCACAGGTGGTGTGCACACAGGTGGCACAGATGCAGGTGTCATGCACACAGCTGGCACGCTTGCACACAAGTGGTGCACACATACACCCTGAGTCTGTCCTCTCGTCCAGCTACAGCCTAGTGGTGTCTCCCCAGGGACCTGGAGTCTCGGGCTGCAGGCCCCACCCTGTGCTCAGGTTGCAGGGGTGGGTGGAGCTGGGCCTGAGGGTGTATTTTAGAAGAGACACGGCAGGGGCGGCCCATGACTGCTGTCCGGCAGCATCAGCACTGTTTTTGGGTTTCTGGCCTGAGGGTGTGGGCACAGCTGTCCCTCAGGGTGGTGGCCGAGTCACTGTCCCCACAGGGGCAGCCTGCAGGGTGCCATTTCCAGGCAGGCCTTGTCGGGCGCACTTGAGCTGGGCCTGTGATTTTCCAGTCCCCCCAGACCCCTGCTCACTTCCCTGCCCTCTGCTTCTGCCCTGCAGGGCCTCGGGGGAGCCCTGGACTCTGTGCTGCCAACACAGGGCTGCAGACCCGGTTGCTGAGGCGGCACCTGAGACGCAGGCGGCAGGGCTGGGCTCCCGCAGGCACTTGAGGACGAGCCCGGGCCTTCTGTCCCGAGTGCGTCCGTCTCAGTCCAGTCCCCTTCTGTAAGGACACAGTCCTGGGATCTGGGCACCCCAGGGACCATCGCAGTTTGGCCATCGGCAGAGACCTACTTTCAAGTGGGGTCTCATTGCCAGGTGCCAGGCTTAGGACGTCAGCATATTGTGGGGGGCAGATCCGGCCTTATCATGTGCTGTTACCACCCCTTATCTTACTCTGCTCTGGACCCACCTCCTCTCCCTGTTCACCTGCACATCACTCAGTGCCCCCGCAGTCCCCTGGGGCTCAGCACCCAGTGTAGCTGTGTCACCTGTGCCTGACCCACTGCCCCCTGGGACTCGGCACCCAGTGTAGCTGTGTCACCTGTGCCTGACCCACTGCCCCCTGGGACTCAGCACCCAGTGTAGCTCTGTCACCTGTGCCTGACCCACTGCCCCCTGGGACTCAGCACCCAGTGTAGCTCTGTCACCTGTGCCTGACCCACTGCCCCCTGGGACTCACACCCAGTGTAGCTCTGTCACCTGTGCCTGACCCACTGTCCCCTGGGACTCACACCCAGTGTAGCTCTGTCACCTGTGCCTGACCCACTGCCCCCTGGGACTCAGCACCCAGTGTAGCTCTGTCACCTGTGCCTGACCCACTGCCCCCTGGGACTCAGCACCCAGTGTAGCTCTGTCACCTGTGCCTGACCCACTGCCCCCTGGGACTCACACCCAGTGTAGCTGTGTCACCTGTGCCTGACCCACTGCCCCCTGGGACTAGGCACCCAGTGTAGCTCTGTCACCTGTGCCTGACCCACTGCCCCCTGGGACTCGGCACCCAGTGTAGCTCTGTCACCTGTGCCTGACCCACTGCCCCCTGGGACTCAGCACCCAGTGTAGCTCTGTCACCTGTGCCTGACCCACTGTCCCCCGGGACTCAGCACCCAGTGTAGCTCTGTCACCTGTGCCTGACCCACTGCCCCCTGGGACTCACACCCAGTGTAGCTCTGTCACCTGTGCCTGAGCCGCTGCCCCCTGGGACTCGGCACCCAGTGTAGCTGTGTCAGCTGTGCCTGACCCGCTGCCCCCTGGGACTCACACCCAGTGTAGCTCTGTCACCTGTGCCTGACCCACTGTCCCCTGGGACTCGGCACCCAGTGTAGCTCTGTCACCTGTGCCTGACCCACTGCCCCCTGGGACTCACACCCAGTGTAGCTCTGTCACCTGTGCCTGACCCACTGCCCCCTGGGACTCACACCCAGTGTAGCTCTGTCAGCTGTGCCTGACCCACTGCCCCCTGGGACTCAGCACCCAGTGTAGCTCTGTCACCTGTGCCTGACCCACTGTCCCCTGGGACTCGGCACCCAGTGTAGCTCTGTCACCTGTGCCTGACCCACTGTCCCCTGGGACTCAGCACCCAGTGTAGCTGTGTCACCTGTGCCTGACCCACTGCCCCCTGGGACTCAGCACCCAGTGTAGCTGTGTCAGCTGTGCCTGACCCACTGCCCCCTGGGACTCAGCACCCAGTGTAGCTCTGTCACCTGTGCCTGACCCACTGCCCCCTGGGGCTCAGCACCCAGTGTAGCTCTGTCACCGGTGCCTGACCCACTGCCCCCTGGGACTCAGCACCCAGTGTAGCTGTGTCAGCTGTGCCTGACCCACTGCCCCCTGGGACTCACACCCAGTGTAGCTCTGTCACCTGTGCCTGACCCACTGCCCCCTGGGACTCACACCCAGTGTAGCTCTGTCAGCTGTGCCTGACCCACTGCCCCCTGGGACTCAGCACCCAGTGTAGCTGTGTCAGCTGTGCCTGACCCACTGCCCCCTGGGACTCAGCACCCAGTGTAGCTCTGTCACCTGTGCCTGACCCACTGCCCCCTGGGACTCACACCCAGTGTAGCTCTGTCAGCTGTGCCTGACCCACTGCCCCCTGGGACTCAGCACCCAGTGTAGCTCTGTCACCTGTGCCTGACCCACTGCCCCCTGGGACTCAGCACCCAGTGTAGCTGTGTCAGCTGTGCCTGACCCACTGCCCCCTGGGACTCAGCACCCAGTGTAGCTCTGTCACCTGTGCCTGACCCACTGCCCCCTGGGGCTCAGCACCCAGTGTAGCTCTGTCACCGGTGCCTGACCCACTGCCCCCTGGGACTCAGCACCCAGTGTAGCTCTGTCACCTGTGCCTGACCCACTGCCCCCTGGGACTCAGCACCCAGTGTAGCTCTGTCACCGGTGCCTGAGCCGCTGCCCCCTGGGGCTCGGCGCCTGAGTGGCAGGTCAGGAACGCTTTCCTGCGTGTGGGCCCAGGCTGCCTTAGAGCGCATTCTCCAGGCAGGCTGGGCTCCTGTTGCCTGACATGCCGGGCCTTAGGGCCAGCAGTACTTGGACGCCGTGCTGTGGCCACTGGAGGGCGCCAACAGCCTTTGCAAGGCTCCAGGTTGGGGTGGGAGGTGACCTGAGGGAGATCAGGCTCAAGGTCAGGAGCAGGCAGAGAGATTGAGGGACCCAGGCCCCAGCTCCATGGAACCTGGAGAAGAAACCGGGAAGGCTGCGCCCCTCTTGTGGAGGGCTGGACCACGAAGCTGCCAGGGTCCTCCTGAGTGGGCGTGTTCTCAGGACTTGGCACAGCCACCCCCTTTCCATGCAGTGTGGACTCTGGTGTCACCCAATCCTTGGTGGACCCTGTGCAGCGTGATCCTGGTGAGGGTGGACAGAGTCCAGGCTGGCACCGCGAGGCTGCCGTCAGCAACTCTGATTTGATAGCAGCTCTGCCTGGCTGTGGGCTGAGGCAGCAGTCACAGAACCTGCCTCCCAGGGCCGGCTCCTCCCCTTTTCCTGCCTGCAGGCTGGGCAGGGAGAGGCTCCCAAGGCCGAGGGTGGGGCTGTTTGTTTACTGAACGCACAGTGTTGCTAGGGAGCCTTGCACCGTCAGCCACGCAGCTCCCAGACCGAAGCCGCAGGGAAGGTGGGCTGCCCGCTGTGTCCTCTGTCCTGGCTTTTATTTGGGTGAACCTGGGACGCTGTGGAGATAATGTGAAGTGTGAGTGTAGGCTCAGGAGGCTGCGTGTGGCACAGGGCATCTCGGGCTCAGAGCAGACGTGGGGTCACCAGTGTCGCTGCTGTGGGTGACGCGTCAGAGAATCACCCGAGTCCACGTGTACAACGTGGAGACACGTTGTGTCGGACAGGCAGGGCACCGAGGACAGGGGAGACGGCCTTGCCCTTGACCAGCGTGTCCCTGACCAGCTCCGTGTGCCAGAGGGAAGTCCAGGTGGCCAGTGTGCCTGGAGTCCTGGAGGCCCTCCTGGCCACAGCACCTGCAGGGGTGGGGACTGGTTGGGGGATGGGAATGCAGGCAGCCCTGGGGGTTCCAGGCTCCAGGGAGTCTGGGCCTGGCAGGTGCCACAAGCACCTCCACTTTGGAGCCAGGGGTCCTGCGGACAGGCCGTCCTGTCCCAGGCCACTCTGTGTGAGCAGACCGGGAGGATGTGCAGGCTGTCCTGGCAGAGGCCTGGGCCTGCTTCAGCCTCGGTTTCACCTGCTGCCCTGCCTGCCCGTCGCAGGGAAGGACCACACCTGGGCCTCTTCCTGCCCTTCCCAGCATCCTCAGCCCTGTCTGTCACCTCAGCAACAATACAAACAGTGTACTGTGCCCCACCCGCTCCCCTGCAGGGAGGGGTGCTGCAGACCCGCCCATGGGCTGGGACAAGTTCTTGGCCATGACAGTGTCACCAGCCCTGCTGACCCATCCATTTACACCCTCTATGGGAGCCGAGGGGGTAGCCAAGGCCTCGCCTCCAGCACTGGGGTCAGAGCAGCCCCAGGAGGGCCTCTGTCCCCCAAGGGCACACACAGCACTGGGGCTTCTGATCACTCCTGTCCCTCACGTGGCCCCCAACTGCCACTGGCCCTCAGCCATCTCCCTGTCCCCTCTGCCCAGTTGCTCGTGGCTGGCCTGCCCCTGGCCTCCGAATCACCCTCCCGACCCTTCTCAGGGTCATCTGTGCCCAGCTTGTGGTCAGGAGTTGTTTGGGGGGCAGTTGAGGAGGAGAAAGGTGGGGAGCTGAGCGCCTGAGTTTACCTCTCGATCGTGGGTGCACACAAATCAACGTCCTGGCTGCAAGGGACAAAGACCCTCTTCCCACTGCCGCTGGAGCCAGAGCAGAGGGCCCCCGAGAGCCTGGGCCCTGTCAGCAGGTGGACGGTGGCTGGCTGAGCTCCTGCCCCGGTGCTGCCGGAGTCCTCGTTGTGGCGTGGTCCCCACAGCCTCTGCTGGCAGCTGAGCCCTTCCCCCGCACCCTCACTGGGCACTGTTTCTGCTGCAATAGGCCCCTTTTCTTTTTCCTTTTTAATGTTTCACTTTGTTTATTTGAGGCAGAGAGATCTTCCATCCACTGGGTCACTCTCCAAATGGCTGCGACTGCCTGGTCTGGTCCAAGCTGAAGCCAGGAGCTTGGACTCTCTCTACATCTCCCACGTGGGTGCAGGGGCCCACGCACTCAGGCCCCTTCCATTGCTCTCCCAAGCCAGCAGCCGGGACTCTAATCCATGCCCGTATGGATGCCGGTGTCACAGGCAGAGGCTAACCCACTGTGCCAAGTGCCGGCCCCACATGGGCCCGTGTTCAGCAGCCCTCACTCTGCCCCGGTTACATGGAGAAGGGCAGGAGTGCCCGCCCCGCGGCTGCTGAGCTGGCCCGGCGTCGTGGAGGGGGTGTGTTGTGGGTGGGGTCCGCCCTGGGCTGCGGCTTGCGGACAGTGAAGAGCCAGGGGCCATCTTTGGTCCCTGTGGGCACCTGAGCCGCGCAGCAGGCTGGGGAGCAGCCCGCGGGGGACGCCTCTGCGGTGCACCCCAGGCCCATCGGTGTGCTCCTTGACTGCTGCTCCAGGTGGCCGGTGGGCTCTTCCTGGTCCACCTCGTGGCCCACCTGACGGCAGTGTCCATCGACCCTGCGGAACCGAACGTGCGACTCCGGGGCTATTTGAAGCCACCACCAGTTTTTGACCGCTCTAAGCACGATCATGTGATCGAGGACCTGTACTGTCATCTGTGCCAGATCAAAGTGTGAGTGCGCCCCCCGCTGTCCCCAGTGTCGGGCATCCCCGGGCCCTGGCAGCCCCTCAGCACTGCTGTGACAGCAGCCAGCCCTGCTGGGGCCTCAGCTGGGCTCTGGCCTGGGCCCACTTTGTGGACACTGCATCTAAGCTGCACAGCTGCCCTGTGAAGTGGACGCTGGTGCCACAGTTGCCTGATAGGACCGTGTGCACAGGGCGGGTGAGCCTGCCTCCCATGCACTGCTCTGTCGGGACCGTGTGCACAGGGCGGAGCCTGCTTCCCGTGAGCACTGCTCTGTCGGGACCGTGTGCACAGGGCTGAGCCTGCCTCCCATGCACTGCTCTGTCGGGACCGTGTGCACAGGGCGGAGCCTGCCTCCCATGCACTGCTCTGTCGGGACCGTGTGCACAGGGCGGAGCCTGCCTCCCATGCACTGCTCTGTCGGGACCGTGTGCACAGGGCGGAGCCTGCCTCCCATGCACTGTTCTGTCGGGACCGTGTGCACAGGGCGGAGCCTGCCTCCCATGCACTGCTCTGTCGGGACCGTGTGCACAGGGCGGAGCCTGCCTCCCATGCACTGCTCTGTCGGGACCGTGTGCACAGGGCGGAGCCTGCCCGCTGCCTGCCTGCCTCGTGCGGAGCACTGCTCTGTGCAGCGAATGGCGCTCTCCCTTGGCTGGAAGGCAGCAGCCCTCGTGCAGGGTCGAGTACTTCCCTGGGGCTCGGGCATGTGGGTTCTTCCCCTTCAGTCCAGGGCCAAAGTAGTGCTGTCTTCTTGGGTTTTGTAGATGAGCCCCCTGCCCAACGGAGGAGGGAGGACCCTGATCCCAGGCCCTGCTCCATGGATGTCCCAGGGCCACCTGGGGAGGACAGTGGGGCTGTGTGAGGCAGAGTGGATCCTGGCATTACAGGGCAGCCGTGGCCGCCACCAGGGTGCTTACCCAGTTCCCAGGACTGGGGGTTGCAGGAGGGTCCTGGGGTGTCTATGTCAGCTGGGGCCTCGCCCATAGAGGCACAGGTGCCTCCCACTCTGATTGCTGTACCCTGGGCTGTTGTCCCCCACTGAGGCTTCAAGTGCTCGACCTGGCCTCAGGTAGAGGGCTTGACCTCTGTCCCCAGTGGACACCCACTTCCATGCCACGTGGACCAGTTTGCCCGAGGCCACCTGGCTCGGGAGATCAGGTTTCTGACCCATCCCTGGCCTGCACACTGTGGGCTGATCGGTTCCTCTCCAATCCTCCTTCCAGGAACAAGCACACTAAGCACTGTAGGACCTGCAACAAGTGCGTCGCAGGGTTTGACCATCACTGCGATTGGCTTAACAACTGCGTGGGCAGTAGAAATTACTGGTGAGGGAGTGGCCTGCAGAGGCCATGGGGTCTGGGGGAGCGGGGCCTGCCTGCAGGCAGGGCGTCCTTGTGGTGTGAGGAGCAGGGGCCCCGAGGGCTGTGGGCACGAGGGGTCTTCCTGGAGCCAAGTCCCTGTCCCCTGCACCGCAGAGGACAGGGCTCCCATCCCTCTGGTCTTGTCTGGTTCTGAAACTGGCTGGAGCCCTCCCTGGACATGCAAGTCGTGGAGGTTCTTGGGGACAGAAAGGAACTGGCCAAGGCCCCCTGAACTCTCCCCTGAGCCCCCGGAGCAGTGGCCAGAGCCTGGGACACAGGAGTGTGTCCAGCACCCAGGTGACAGGCGGAGCGTCCACCAGGCTGGCTCTCCGTCAGCTGCCCAGTCGTGAAGGTCAGCAGGAAGAAAGCAACGAGTGCTCTCCTGCAGTCCTGCGGCCTGGGCAGCGCAGTGGCTGGGGTCCGAGTGGCCTCCCAGCAGCTGTTCAGGAGACCACGCCCGAAAGGCCGCACGTGGCCGCAAGCTGGGCAATGCAGCTCCTCCTGCCGGCTTCCTCGTGTAGACCAGGGTCCGCGTGAGCATGCGCACTGCTGCCGCGTCGCAGCATTGGAATCACGTGACTGACGGGCTAGGGAGAGCCCGACGCCCCTCTCTCCGCCACAGGCAGAGAAAGCAGGCAGCAGCCGCCCGTGTTCTGCACTTGGATCAGTTTGGTCTAGAAAAGTGGCTGAGTGTGGCACTGAGAGGCTGAGGGAGGATGTGTTAAGGAGACGGCCCCGCACGGCCCGGGAAGGGCTCCTGGGCTCGCAGACAGCAGCCACTTAAAAGCCGAGGGTGCCCTGGAGCCCGCCGCCCTGTGCTCAGAGCTGATGTTCGGTGCCGGTGGGTCACACACCCCTGACTCAGCCAGCAGCCCCAGCCACCTCTCCCACCGCACAGGACCCGGCTGGGACCCAGCCTGCCTGGGGCTGCCATGAGGGCCTTCATCCAGACCCAGGGCGGCAGCAGCTGTGTGCGGTGGGCTCGGGGGACGTGCTGACCGCGGGTAGCTGGCTGGGGTTTGCTGTGAGGAGGGAGTGGCCCCTGCTCCTCCTCCTCACGGCCTCACTTCCTCCTCGCGAGGGTTAAGTGAGGTCGTGTCTGCAAGAGGTGCTCTGTTGTAAAGAGGGAGAAGCTGCCGTGCGGTCCGTGCAGTCGCGGCCTGGCAGGAGTGATCAAACCGAGGGGCCCACGCCACTTGGTCTGGAGCAGGGTCCTGGGCTCCTTCCAGGGGACACCCACAGCCGTTCTGTGCAGCCTTCGGCACCTGGGCCCCTGAGGTGTGGGTGTCTGTGTGGTCCTGTCCTCAGGAGTGGCCAGGCACAGCGTCTGCGTGTGCTCCTCTCCCTCAGGTACTTTTTCTGCTCTGTGTTGTCTGCCTTGGTCGCCCTGCTCTTCCTCATGGTCATCATGCTGTACATCTTTACAAAGCAGGTCATGGACCCCAGGAGTCTCCGCACTGACCGCCATTACAAAGGTGCCACTGCAGCTCTCAGCTCCGCCTCCCTTGGGGTGCGGGGTGCGGGGTGCGGGGATCAGGGTCAGCTCTGCCTCCCTCGGGGTGTGGGGTGTGGGGATCAGGGTCAGCTCTGCCTCCCTCAGGGTGTGGGGTACTGGGTCAGCTCTGCCTCCCTCGGGGTGCGGGGTGCCGGGATCAGGGTCAGCTCCGCCTCCCTCGGGGTGCGGGGTGCGGGGATCAGGGTCAGCTCCGCCTCCCTCGGGGTGTGGGGTATGGGGTCAGCTCTGCCTCCCTCAGCGTGTGGGGTACTGGGTCAGCTCTGCCTCCCTCGGGGTCTGGGGTACTGGGTTGGCTCTTGGCTCTGCCTCCCTTGGAGTCCAAGGTGCTGTCAGTTCTGCCTCCCTTGGGGTCCAGGGTGCTGGGTTCTGCCTCTTTTGGGGTCCGGGGTGCTGGGTTGGCTCTCGGCTCTGCCTCCCTCGGGGTCCAGGGTGCTGGGTCAGCTGTTTTCCCACGGTCCTCTGGCAGGGCATGGTCACCCCAGCTTGCTCTAGGGAGTGGCTGGAGAGGCGCACGCCCTGGTGCTGTGTCTGGGGTGCTGGTTGGGAGCAGACCCTGGCAGGCTCTGGACCTTGGCTCATGCAGCTGCCCCACGTGTACACTGCTGCCAGCAACTTTGCGGTGGGCAGCTGTGGGGTGTCCTGGCACCTCCAGGGCTGTTATGGGGCCGCAGTGCCCGGAGTCAGGGTTGAGAGAGGGGTCTACTCCATACCTCAGTCCTTCCACAGTCAGGTCAAGGTGCTCAGTTGTCTGGTCCCCAGGGCAGCTGCAGGCGTGGGCTGCCCCACAGGAGCCAGCTGTCAGGGGAGGCACCGGAGGCTGCAGGCTTGGAGACCCTTAGCTGAGCGTGGGCGCCCTGCCTGCATGGAGCAAGGGGGAAAGGTGTGCCCGTGCCCGGAGGCGGCCCCTGCTGCCAGCCAGCCGGCGTCTTCCTGGGTGGTCTGGTGTGCCCAGTGGAGGGAGGCACAGACCCAGAGGAGAAGGCTGTGGGCCAGCAGGGGCGGAGGCAGAGCCGCCGTCCGCAGAAGCTGGCAGAGGTGGGAGGAGCCCTGTGTCAGAGCCCCAGAGGACACGCAGCACCGGTACGTGGATTCAGACTCGGGGTGGAAGGTGCTGAAGCGCCTCATCCCAGTGGCACAGCGGCCACAGGAGGCTGCCCCCCCCAGCACCCGCCCCCTCTCCCCGCTCTGTCTGAGGCTGACCAGTGTAGCACGGAGAGGCCCAGGTGTAGGGGCCGGTGGGAGTGACCGGGGACGTGGCCTCTCCTTCCAGACCCAGAGTGGGGTTATCCCAGCCGCCAGTCAGGAGGGGCCCCAGGCTCAGGTAGGGTAAATACCCAGGCACTGCTCACCGGGGTCCTCACTCTGCCCTCCACCAGCAAACCCTGCCCCTGGCCTCCCCGGTCACGTGTGTCTCCCTTGTCCTGACAGAGGTAGAGGACGGCACGTGGCTGCTTTTCCTTCCTGTGCTCCCCACGCGTGTGAAGACCCCAGTGGTGCTGTGCATCGGGGTGGCTGCGCTGCTGCTGAGCCTCAGCATCGTGTCGGCGCTGGGCCGCCTGTTCGTCTTCCACGTCTACCTGAGTGCGTACCTGCCCTGGAGCCCGCCCCTGCCAAGCTCTGCCCGCCACGCTCGGTGGCACCCAGGCAGGAGGCTTCCTGGCCAGCCTGTGCCAGAAACGAGCTCACAGCAGACAGGAGAACTCCCAGGAGGAGGAGGCACCGTGGGAGGGTGCAGGCCCAGAGGGGCTGGACTCAAGGCCCAGGAGCCGCAGGAAACGTGGGGAGGCTCTAAAATTAGAGCGAGGAAGGAGTTCTTGTGGGCGAGAGCAGAGCATGATGGAAACGGTGACTCCCTTAGGAGAGCACCAGGTTGAGGTCTTGATGGTGAGATCCAGCCTAAGCTCAGTGGACGGTGGCCAGTGCCCGGGCAGCTGGGCTGTGAGCCTGAGGGCGTCTGTGCGCTGGGGCTGTTGGCCTGGAAGGATGGGCTGTCCCCACCCACAGCCCTTCCTCCCAGGTAGCCTCGTTCAGTCTCTGGGCATCATGGGCCCTGGGCTGGGGGCTGCGGGGAGTGGGCAGCCAGGACAGACCGTCTCCAGGCCGCTCCTCCAAAGGTGCCGTCCCCTGCAACCTTCCTCCTCCCTCACCACCGAGTGCAGGAGCCCGGCCTGCGGGCTCTGGTCTTCAGCACAGCTTGCCTGCGGCTGTGCTAGCGACGTCTGATGCAGAATGGATGCCCTCACGGAGAAAGGCCCCACTTGTGACCCCGGGTCACCCCATCATCCCTGAAAAGCCCGTCCGGTCGTCTTGCCTGAGGCTTGCCTGATGTCTCTGACGAAAGTGCAGTGCAGACTCCGGCGTGAATCCCACGGGCGCCACATGCACGCTCCTGGCCCAGCTGTGAAGAACAGCCCGTTGCCTGTACTGAGAAGGGGCAGCAGCACCTTTGACGTCTCTTCCCAGAGGCCCACGTCCGTGTAGCTGGTCCAAAGTCGCGTGCTGCATGGCCATGGGGCCTGGGGACCTGGGCACACTCCCTGCAGCCAAACCCTAGAGAGTGGGGCCGCCTTTGAAACCTGGTTCCACGGTTGCGTGCTCAGGGTTGTGTCTAAACTCCGCCTTCTAAAGGTGTCTAGAAGTTTCTCGTGTGTAAGTGCTCCCTGACTGCCCAGGGGTGCGCTCTCCGCTGCTGTGCCCAGACAGAACTCCCCTGCCCTCCTCACCCAGGGCTCTCACACCAGCCCTCGTCCAGTCTCACCACCCCATCACGAGCCATGTGCAAGGCGTGGCACACACCACACAATGAACCATGCATGTGGCAGCATGATCCACACCATGCCACGAACCACACTCGAGATGTGACGCACACCACAACCATGCACAAGGCATGCACACACCATGCTGTGAACCATATGTGAGTGTGACACATATCATGCCACGAACCACATGAGAGGCATGACACCATGCCATGAACCACATGTGGGAGGCATGGCACACCATGCCACGAACCACATGAGAGACATGACACACCATGCCACGAACCACATGTGAGAGGCATGACACACCATGCCACGAACCACATGAGCGGCATGACACACCATGCCACAGACCACATGAGCGGCATGACACACAGCACACCACGAACCACACATGAGCCATGACACACATGTGTAGCAGAGGGACGGGCCCAGCTACCCAGTAGTGGCCGTTCCTTCGGATTTTGTGGTTATAGTGCTGAGCGCTGGCCCCAGGGGGTGGGGGTGGGGGTGGAGGTGCTGAGATGTGAACAGCATGTGCAGGTGCACTTGGCTGCCAGGGGGACAGGCAGAGAACACCTGCTAGGCATGAGGCCTAGGTGGGTAGGCAGGAAGCGAGGGTGACGGCACCCAGCTCGGTGGGCACCACTGCACCCTGACTTTGGCTCTGAGTGGAACAGGAGAGGAGAGTGGCCTGTGGGCCCCCGGTGTGCTGTTGTGCTCTGTGTGGGAGACCAGAGCTGACAGCTGCCCACCCGTGCCCCTCTCCCGGGGGACACGGCGGTTTGGGAGGGCACATCCTGTCGCACTGCTCCGGGAGCTCTGTGGTTTTCATGTGCGTGAGGCGGCTGCACTGAAGCCCGAGTGAGTGCCGGCACCAGAACCCCTCCCACTCCCATGTCCTGGCGACACCTGCAGGAGGTTCCGTGGCCCCTGTGCTCTGAGACCACAGGGAGGACTCGGCACCTGTGGCTCACAGGTGAGTCTGTGCCACGGCTAAAGCCCCCACAGGATTCCCAGGCCGGCCTTGGACGTGGGCTGCGGGCTGCTCGACGCTGGCGCGGCGTCCACGGCGTCAGCCCCGCTGCACTTTCCTGTAAGGACGTGCCGGTCCCAGGAGGCTGGAGCCATGCAGCCGAGGGACGTCCGGCCCTGCTTCCCGCCTCTGCCGTGCTTGCCCTGAAGTCGGAGGACTTGGCAGTGGATCCACGGCCCCAGCCTTGGCCAGCACCAGAGAGAGGGAGGACGTGTCGTGGCCAGTGCCACGTGGCTGCTGGGGTGACCCCTGGGTCTGTCAGCCTTGGCCAGGCGATGGTATGAGAGACGTGAGGGTGTCCATGGAGAATGGAGTTAAAAGGTGAGGGTGTTCTGGTGCAAAACTAATTTGGAATATCCAAGCTCTTGGAAATGCAAACTAGGAGCAAACTGCCCCGTGGGCATCGGAAGTTTTGGCACCCAAATCCACTCATCTCATAGTTCTGGGCTGGCCCTGTCCCGTTCATGGGCTGTCAGTCACAGACCAGCCTGCAGGGCACCCAGCAGGGCAGTGTGTGGCTGGACACCTGCCAGCGTGTCCTGACCTGAGCTGGGGCTCACGCAGCGCCCCTGCGCTCTAAGGTGGCTCTCCCACCGGCCAGCAGGAGCTCTGCTTTCTGTGGCACCAACAGCGGGCTGCTGGTGGTCACTGGAGTTGAGTTCAGGGTCGTCCCTGGCCCCAGAAAGGTGTTGAGCACAGAGCCAGGTGGGGAGAGCCGCAGAGGAGTGAGTGCCAGCCAGCCACAGCACCACAGCCTGAGGGCATCCTCCAGGGGCAGACCACAGCCTGAGGGCATCCACCAGGGGCAGACCATGGCCTGAGGGCATCCACCAGAGGTAAACCACAGCCTGAGGGCATCCACCAGCCACAGCACCACAGCCTGAGGGCATCCACCAGCCACAGCACCACAGCCTGAGGGCATCCACCAGGGGCAGACCACGGCCTGAGGGCATCCACCAGCCACAGCACCACAGCCTGAGGGCATCCACCAGGGGCAGACCACAGCCTGAGGGCATCCACCAGGGGCAGACCACGGCCTGAGGGCATCCACCAGCCACAGCACCACAGCCTGAGGGCATCCACCAGCCACAGCACCACGGCCTGAGGGCATCCACCAGGGACAGACCACAGCCTGAGGGCATCCACCAGGGACAGACCACGGCCTGAGGGCATCCACCAGCCACAGCACCACGGCCTGAGGGCATCCACCAGGGACAGACCACAGCCTGAGGGCATCCACCAGGGACAGACCACAGCCTGAGGGCATCCTCCAGGGGCAGACCACGGCCTGAGGGCATCCGCTAGGGGCAGACCACAGCCTGAGGGCATCCACCAGGGGCAGACCACGGCCTGAGGGCATCCACCAGGGGAAGACCACGGCCTGACAGCTGCTGGTATCATCAAAGACGTGATGTTTATAGGATGCGATGGGAGAGATCAGAGACGCAGCCGGCTGGAGTGACAGACAGGTGGAGGCCTCCGGGAGGGTTGAACTGGGGGACAGAACCCCAGAGGGGCAGGGGTGTGAGTGGGGCTGAGGGGGGGATTTGCACACCAAGGACACTGGTGTGGCTAGCAGTTGTTAGCTAGGGTACAGCTGCGCCTAAATGCAGGGGCACACTCAGGCAAGCTGGGGCCTCCACCCAGAACCCCTCCTGGGCTTCGGTGGAGGCCTTGGTGGGGACCGTGGTTGGCGTGAAGGTTGGGGGAGCTCCTGTGAACGCCCTGTGAAGCCACTGGTGGTGCCGTCCCTGGTAGATGGCAGGACAAGGCCTCTCTCCACCCCTGGCCATATGGACTGTCCACAGAGCAGCTCACAGCACACTACCGACTTGCAGGGTGAGCTCTGAGAGGTAAGGGAGGCGGGCAGTCTTCCACAACCCCTGCCGCACCGTGTCCCCCTAAGCAGAGGCCACACTCGAGAAGCAGTGCACCCAGGCTCCGAGCTGGTGCAGGCCCGGGGCAGCCCCAGCAAGATGGGAGGGAAGGCGTCGAGGGAGGTAGAGAGCTGGTTGGCCCTCGCCAGCGGCCCGAGAAGGCACGGGCAGGCTGCTGTTGGCTGCGGGCGCTGTGGCCGGGCTGCTCACCGAGGTTAAAAGGTTGGGAGCACGCTGCGTCCTTCATCCTGCCAGTTTGAAATGTTTTACGTGAAACGCACACCACCCAAGCACGCCTGCCAGGCGTCTGCCCTCTGGTCTGCGTGGCTTTAGGACATCAACAAGTGCACGTTCCCACTGTCACTCAGGTTCTTGATGGGAGGCTGACACGAGGGCGGGGTGCAGTCAGTCGGGAACACAGAACCGAGGCGGGGTTGGGGGCTGCAGATGGGCACCGCGTGTCCCAGCCACCGTCTGGTCCCAGGCGTGGAGGCTGTTAGGAAAAGACATGAAAGCGTGGCCCCCGTGGGAGGCACGGCAGACAGCAGCACATATTGGGCAGCCAGGGTCTCCATGGAAGGATGGCCCTGGGATGGCGTCGCCAGCAGGGCTCCCGCAAGGTGCTCAGACCACACACCCAGGTCACCTGGCCCCTCAGATGCAGCGATCCCAGGGCATCCTGCAAAGCCTGTCGCGTGGCGGGGGGCGTGGGCTCACAGGAGGCCACCTGCCGTGTTTTCCCCTGACCCTTGCTGGGAAGACCGGCTTAATGGGGCTTCACAGTGGGCCATGGGGCTCGACTGTGTCCTGTCCCAGGCAAGACAGGCAGACCCTCTTGCCTGCTGCCCAGGTGGGCTGCAGCCCGGGAGCCACGCTGGGGGCCGCAGTGGACGAGGTGACCCCCTGCTTCCACTTTTCTGCTTCTAGTTGCAAAGAAGATGAGCACGCGTGACTTCATAGCGCAGGGCCAGCTGCCACAGTGTCCCAAGGCAGCGTGCAGGAGCAAGCCGGCTGTGGACCCGGAGGCGGGGCCTGAGCAGGTATGCCTGTGCTCGCGGTCCGCCTGGTACAGACCTGGGGACGAGGCCCAGCTGGCCGAGCAGCTGGGACCTGTTGGCCCACTCCCTGCTTCAGTGTGAGGCAGGCCCCAGGACCCTGGGGTGTGTCCCGTGTGGCGTGCGTGCGGCTGTCTACGCCTTCTCACACCCCTCCCTCCCAGTCAGCCACCTGGCCCCAGGACTGCTGGTGGGCTGTGCTTAGCGGGGCTGCACTGTGCCGGTCTCTGAAGGTGGCAGGGACTCTGCTTCCGGAGGGGAGGGGTCTTCTGCCCTCACGCCTGCAGTCACTCAAGCAGCAGGGAGGGGCCAGCACCCCCTCAGGGAGAAACCGGGAGCACATCCTTGCTTGGTTGCCTCTCACCGGACGCTGAACACACACTTGTCCACTCCATCCCAGACTCGGCCCGTCCCAGCGACCCCAGGCCATGCAGTCACAGCACCGCTGCCTTCGTGCGAGTGTGCGGAAGAGGTGCCCACCCCGCCCGGGTCAGGTGGCACCAGGCTCCTCTGGACGGTGCCGGGCGTGCTCGACACCGGGCTGCTGTGGGGTGTCCCCTCAGGCCACGTCAGAGGCGTTTTCAAGGCCTCACAGCATGGAGACGGAGGCACACGCGGGGTGCTGGGAGAAAGACCCGTGGCAGGGAGACGCTTGCCCGGGGGCCACAAGAAGCCCAGGCCAAGACTCAGCATTCACCCATGGACTGGGTTGTCTGTGGGAAAAGCTCAGGGTCAGCAGCTCCGTTTCTGCCATGAGTTTTCCTTCACCCCACAGGGAAGACGTGGACCGCCCGCCCGCTCTCTCCCTGGGTGAGTTCTGACTGCCCAGCTGCTGCTGTTTTTATTTGAAAGAGTTATAGAGAGAGGTAGAGCCAGAGAGACAGAGGTGTTCCATCCACTGGTTCACTCCCCGATGGCGGCAATGGCCAGAGCTGCGCTGATCCGAAGCCAGGAGCCTGGAGCTTCTGGGTCTCCCATGGGGCGCAGGGGCCTGAGGACCTGGGCCATTTGCTGCTGCCAGCAGGGAGCTGGATCAGAAGAGAGCAGCTGGGTCTTGAACAAGCACTCCAGTCTGGGAGTCACAGGTGGTGCTTAACCCACTGTGCTACAA